ATTATGTACAACTAAAATATTTTTTAAATAATAAATAAATAAATAAAAAGGGGCTGGGAATGAGGCTCAGTGGTTGAGTATCTCTGGGTTCAATCCCTGGTRCCCCCAAAAAATAAGAAGAGAAAAAGTGATGATACATACTAATGAGTGCATCTTGATAAAATGCAGCCATTCTTAACTTTTTTTAAAAAAGTTTTGATGGACACAGTATCTTTATTTTATCTGTTTTTGTTTTTTTATGTGGTTCCAGGGATTGTACCCAGTGTCTCACACATACTAGGCAAGTGCTCTACCACTGAGCCATAACCTCAGCCCCTCATTCTTAATTTTAAGTGTTCATCAGAATCAACTGGGAAAGTTTTTCAAAATACACTGGACTGGACTTCAGCTCTCTGAGAAATGGAACCTAGGCCTTTGTACTATCCCTTTTTAAAGCTATTGGAGAGATTCTAATTAGCATTCCCTATTAAAAACAAATTATATAGTGGAAAGAACACAGGCTTTGCTAGATTCTATTTTCTTCCAGTTATGCTATATGACTGAATCTGCTATATGATCTTAGGAAAATCACTTGTTTACCTTATCTGTAAATGGGGCTAAGAATTCTTGTTTTGCCTACTTCCCACAGTTTTGTAGGACTAAATTAGATAATTCCTATGAAAACATTTTTTCAGCTGTAAAACTCTAGGCTAATATTAGCTTTTAAGGTGTTTCTTCGAGCTGGGAATGTAGCTCAGGTGTGGTAGAGTATAGTGTGCTTACCTAGCCTACCTGATGTGCTGGGCTCAATCCCCAGCATGAGGGGACAGGGGAACATTCTTTTAAGCTTTAGCTGTCTTCTGCTTAAACATCTATTATTGCTTTTATCTCCTTTTACCATATTATCTGACTGTATTTCTTTTCATCCACTAGAATATGACTTCTAGATCTAGTGGTCAACCCATAATAAATATTGAACAAGTATATCTAGTGTAAGAAAAGTCTCAGGAAGAGAAAATGAATAATGATTTTATTTATTACAATGAAACAACTAATCTGTAATCATAATACTTACAGTCTATAGAAAATGATCATAAACAATTTAGTTCTTACACTCCAAAGTTAATCAGATGCTCCAAAAGAAAACTCACCCAAGTTAAGCTTTTGTTCAATCCATGACACTATGTTTTTTGTATATTTTGACCATGTTTTAGCATATGAGAAAGCCAATTCAATACAGTCAGTGTCTTTTAATAGCACATTATCTAATTCTATAGGAGAAAAATTTCCTGAAAATAAAAATATCAGAGTAAGTATTTGTTAAATATGGTCTATAATAATTTTAAAGCAAGCAGAATTCAGACAAATTTATAACTATAGGACACAACGTAAGCATAAAATGGCCTCAAATTACAATATATTTTTATCTTTATATGTCATTTTGCACTAAAAATGAGTACCCTAGGTACACTAGGTTACATTAATCAAGAAGATATTAAGTAATCTAAAACACTCATTGAAAGAAACTGCAAAATTTTTTGACAAAAATTATAAGTACATTGAGTATTACCTTGTTCATTGGATGGCTTGACTGAGTCCACAGAAATGTTTTCAAAAGACTTTGCAACATGGAAGAAAACAAATTTAAGATTAGTGCAAAAGACAACAAATCTCTGCTTCAGAAAATTTTTACCCCAATTCATTACTTTGACATAATTCCTACTAAAGAATTTCAAGTATTTAAAACCTTTTAAAGAGCCTGAGAAGTCTGTTTAAATACCAGAACATTTATATTTTCTAAGAATTATATGGAATTTTTGCCCAGCAGTTCTTAAGATCCAAGAATAAACAATCTCATTATTTACTAACAGCATTAGTTAACATAAATGAATCTATGCAAAACTTTAAATTTTGCATATCYCCCAAATATTARGAAGTCAAAGAAGTCATCTAAATATATTGCTATCTAAACAGAAGATATAGAAGAAGTGATCTAAATAGATTGTTATCTAAATAGAAGATATAGATCTATCCAGCCATCTTTTACCATTTTATTATATGATAAGCATATTCTTGAAAGTTTATTAGGTAGTTTAGCACAGAACTTTCTGTAAAGATGCAAATATTTTATAATGTAATATCCTATATGGTAGCTATTAACTACCATATAGTTATACCATATACCATTGTAGCTACTTACTTGAACATTTTAAAAGTATCTAATAGACTAAGAAGATGTGACTAGTGGCTACCATTAGCAGGGCTAGAAAGTAACATCTATCAAAATTGTTAAATCTTAAACACATTTGATCTACTTGGTTGGGCAATACGAGGCATATAGGGATTCAATGCAAAAGGGATCAAAAAGACCTAGGTCTGAAGTCCAGCTCTGTTTTTCGCTCTATGACATAGGGTTACACATTTAAACTCACCTAAGGTTAGTTTGCCCTTCTGTAAAAAGAGGATAAGAACACTATATTGATAAGGCTGTTTTAAGAATTAAGATGATGTAATGTTATTAGCACAGTAGAGAGAACATAGTAAGCACTATTAAAATGCATTGCAGCTATTATTTTTAAAGTGTATTTTTCAAAAAYCTTCATCAAAAAAGTAATGTTATTATTAGGATTATATCATGAGCTTTTTAATCTTAATCTCTAGGGAAAATTAAAAATTTAAAAAGGAAAAACAAGGAATAACATTTTTTAAAAAGGGGAAAAGTATTTTTCTATTAAAGGTCAGTATAGTATGTATCTAAAGAAGCAGGAATAGGAAAWACAATTCATATCTAAAATTTAAATTGGACACAGCTCTGCTACACATATAAAATGTTTTATTACCTTCTGAAGAATCAGTTACAATTTTAAAAGGTAAAATTGAGGAAAAAAACAGTAAAATATTTAACAATTTTAAGACTCTTCCTTATTCTCCGTTTATCAATGAGGGATTGTTGAAATAGTCCTGATTTTTTTTGCAATATTATAATACATGTTCCAAATACCTTAAGTAGTCATGTTCATATTTTGTCTCATTTTAAGAAAGATCTTAAGGTTTTCTTTTTGGGGGGTTGGAGGTACCAGCGATTGAACCTGGGGTACTCAACCACTGAGACAGATCCCCAGCTCTTTTAGTTTTTTATTTAATTTTATTTTTTGGTACTGAGGGTTAAACTCAGGGGCACTTAACCACTGAACCCCAGCCCTTTGTTGCATTTTATATATTTAAGGGTCTCACTGAGTTGCTTAGGGCCTTGCTAAATTGCTGAGGCTCACTTTGAACTCACAATCCTCCTGCCTCAGCCTCACGAGCCACTGGGATTACAGGCATGTGCCACTGCACCCAGCAGCCCTTTTTATTTTTAATTTTATTTTGAGACATATTCTTGCTAAATTACTGAGGCTGGCTTTGAACTTGTGTTCCTCCTGCCTCCGCCTCCTGAGTTGCTGGTATTACAGGCATGTGCCACTACACTAGCTTAAGTTTTTATATTATTCTGATATAATACAAGTATCTGGTACATTTGTTGAAATCCTTTTTGGATCTGATCAATCTTTTTTTTTTTTTTTTTTGGTAACAGGGGTTAAACCCAGGGTGCTTAACCACTGAGCCACATCTCCAGTCCTTTTTTAAATTTTGAGACAGGGTCTCACTAATGGATCTGATCATTCTTAACAGGAATTATCAACACATGTCTCTGAGGGAGTATGTTTAAATATGATTAAGTRAAAAAATAATCAGTAAACTTAAAATATTCCTACTATTATAAATCTTTAAGGCAACATTCTCCATACATTCCAGACATTTTATCATTCCAAAGAAATTTTTCTTCCAATTAGAAATCATAACCCCAAACCTAGGGATGCTGGTAGGGAGAATTAAGATATACAGGGTTAACAAGTGTTTCCTGACCAAAAGAAACAAACAAACAAAAAATTGTATGGTATGTGAGATTACCACCCTCCTTACTTTTTCCATTTTTCTTTTTTTTTCAAGTTTCACCAGTCCCAAGGTCTACAGCAAAGTCAGTAGGGAAAAAAGGTTAAAAATCCCTCTAATATTTCAGATCTATACCATATGGATTCATTTTATGTTATAAAATATCAGGCATACTCTTTTAATAGTTCAGTCCACTTAAAAAGTATTACCAAATTACTGCTTCAGAAACTCATCATATTATCATATTTTAAATGAATTGGTCTGGTTTTCAAGCCATAATGTGGTAACTTATAAATTTAGCTATGAAAGTAATTCTGAGATTAAGATTAGGAAATAAATTAAATACATAGTTAAAAACATTAAAGGTTTCACTTTCACATAAACTTAGCCTACCTTATATTCCCGAGAAACAGGCAGTCTGTGTACGTGTCCCATAAGGAAGTTTGCAAAGCTATCCAGGGAGGTTAAAAAAAAAAAGGCATACCATTATGCTTCTTTGTCACAGGCTTTACAATCATGTATTCTAGGACAATCTGTTTTAAGTAAGAACCTGAGAACTTGCAAATGAACTTGCAAGTGAAGKTTGCTTCTAAATAGCTATAAAGACACCTCCAAATACATCAATATAACAATATGAAATATGGCTTTTTCAAAGTTGTGATAGTATGTTACAAGAGTTAATACTTTACTTTCTATGGCTTCTACACCCAATGTACTCAAACACACTTCAGCCCAATACATTTAAATGACAGTCCTCTACTTACATATCCCCAAAGGTAAATGTCAAAGTTTCAACAGAAGAAAATACTTCTTGGAATAGATTATTTTTGTTGTCTTCATTAACTTCTGTAAAATTCACAGCTATAAGGAAAGATTAGTTACAATAAATGATGGAGAAAATATTTGAAACTAGATTCATACAAAATCATTTAGTACTTTAAAAATTTACCATTACTTCATTAAAAGATTCAGAAACTGAAAGGGTTAATATACAAAACCAATAGGATATTCAGTTATTTATTAAGAAAATCATAAAATATCAGTTTGCATGAAAGTCGTTGGCATTCCAGACTCCCTACTCCATGATTTACATAATTTTACACATATAAAAAGTGACTTAATGTGATATCAATCTGTCTTGGAGTTGGAGTCCGTTATACCAGACCTCTTCATGAAGAATGTTCTGCACTATTTTCTCTTGCTTACTGTTTTCTGGTGTTTTAAAAAACTGTTGAAGACATCGTGGCTCATGGAAATCAATAGGAAGCACATATTTACTATGAACCACCAATAACTAAAATTTTATATGCATATATATATATAAAACCTATATAATACAACATATCACATTTTTTAAAAATCCAGTTCTTTATAGAGAATTTAAATTCATATTTATTCATAGTATTATTGCTCATAATAGGATCTTGGGACCTGAGATCTATGTTAATTGACATATAGCTGTCTTTTGTTTATAATAGAGACTTTTTTATTTTTTAATGCAAATCATGAAAAAACTAAAAGGGTTTCTTTTAACTTCTGTACACACTCTTGATAAAAGCCCAAACACAATTTACTAAGACAAAATCTGAAGATGGAATTGGCTTTTTTCCCTGAAGTAAATAAACCATGCTACTCAGRTTGGTAATAAGGAGCAAATGATTCCTTATTACCCACCCTCTCTAGTATACTACCAATAAGGTACAGGTAGAGAAACCATGTGGAGAAGAAGCCATCCTCTGCTTTACCAATCATTTTAAATATTGGATGAAGAGTCTTAAAAACAAAGTCAGCCCCATCACCAAAAATTCAGATTTGAGAAGTCTGTAGTATCGGGGCTCAGGGGTGCATGTCTGTACTCCCAGTGGCTTCAAAGGCTAAGGTGGGAGGATCTGAGTTCAAAGCCAGACTCAGAAACTGAGTGAAGTCATAAACAACTTAGTGAGACCCTGTCTCTAACTAAAATATGAAAAAGGACTGGGGATCTGGCTCAGTGGTTAAGTACCTCTGGGTTCAATCCCTGGTACAATTTAAAAAAAAAAAAAAGGTCTGGAGGTAAGGCACAGATATTTTTCCAAAAGCTCTCCCAAGTGATTCTAATATGCAAACAGAGTTGGAAAGCAAGTACTACTAGATTTGGATGAATTAAACCTTTAGCCTATAAACTCCATGAGATTACAATCAGATTTTACATGTATAAATCTTTGTAGATTGGGGCGGGGGCGGGGTGTCCACACAGTTCATCATATTCTTCTAAATATCCCTAATACCAACAAAAAGAAAAACTAAGAATCATTGCAAATCATTTTTAAAACACTTCTGTTCTGACCAAGAAACAGATTATAATTATGCCTGAAATAACTGGAAAAAAGACTATATAAAATTTAAGACGCAACATTTTTCAAGACCCTGTATAATCTGACAATAAAAGACAGTAATCCCTGACAGACAAGAAACACCATGGTAACTTACAACTGCCTGACTTTACTGTCTAATATTACATAGTATGGATTCACAAGCAAAGGAAATTACAGGGGGCAGTGAGGCGGGGAGACACAGACGGATACAACCTTGTTTTATAATTATGAAGGAGTCAGTTCATCAAGAGGACCTAACATTTCTATACATTTATGCATCCAGTAAACAGAGCTTCAAAATGCATGAAGCAAAGATAGCCAGAGATTTCAATAGCCTTCCCTGCAACTGACAGAACACACAGATGGAAAATGAGTAAGGGTAGGAAGAGCTGAATGATACTGTCAACCACCTTGGCAAGATGGACATTTATAGAGCACTCTACTTAGTGACAGCAAACACAAGTTCTTTTCAAATAAATATTTACCAACACAGTTCATATTATAGACCATAAAACATGTCTCACACYKAGTTTGAAAGTATTCATATCAGACAAAACACRTTCTGCGACTACCTGGAATTAAAACAAGAATAAATAATAGAAGTGCTCTGTGAAATTCCCAAATACTTGAAAATTAAATCTCAAACTTCYAAATAACCCATGTGTCAAAAAAGAAGAGAAATTAGAAAGTATTTTGAACCAAATGAGAATGAAAATAAAATACCAAAATTTGTGAAAGAGGAGGTAGAGGACTATAATGGGAGTAAGCATTATCATGACTATAATGACGTTTTCACAGGAATACGCATTTGTCAGAATTTAACAATACATGCATGTATTTGCTTGTATATGTATAACATATCTCTGGAAAGATGCACAAGAAAGCAGTAGTAGTTATTACTTATCTATGGAAAGATATGGGTAGGCAAAGAGGTTTAGGTAAAAAAAAATTTCATTGGTGAACACCCTCTTACACAATTTGCATTTAATTGTGTGTATGAACTGCACATTGAAAGAATMAAGTTTGAAGAATAGAAAGAAAACATGAAACTTCTATAATCTTAAGGGCATAATTAAGGCTTATTTTTCTGCTTGCCAATTTATAAATATAGGGTAAAATACAGATAATGAAAAACATAAATAAAACCTCTTTTTCTATTACATATTAAAATTTTCCTAAATAAATGAAAATACAACTACTAAATGCAGCATAAATTCCTGAGTTCTGAAAATGTCTTTTTCTGCTTCAAAAATAGCCTGTATCTCTCTTACCACATTGCAAATATTTTGTCAGACTGAACTTCCTGCTTGGAAACAGAAGGAGATGAAGGAAATACAAATCATTACTATAATGAATGGGGGAAAACTAAGAATTTTTCTTCTAAAGTTATGACAAGGTAAATTCATATTTACAATAACAAGTAAGAGGAATTAAAGATTTCAATTTCTTATGCATAGGAAATGGATGCACTTCATGCATTCAGAACTGAGGAACACAAACATTATATACACAACAGATTCTGAAGGTATTCTGTATTGTGGGGTGGGTTGTTTATTTTTGTTTGGGCAGTCTGACAAATTTGAAAAATGCATTTGATGGGTAAGAACTCTAAATAAGTCAACTGTTTAGGTCACTGTTGTTTATTGAAAATATAATCAGGGAGTTAAGACTGAATGATCTTCATACTTTTACAGCTTTTTTATCCTACCATATAAGAGTTTTTCTTAACAGTTCTCTCTGAAATAAGCATAACAAAAATGTACATTTACAGGTTTTTGCAAAGATTGAGGTATGCAAAGCACTTAGATTGCTTGGCACAGAACAGACATTTAAAAATAGCTTCCACCTATATCTTGCCTTTTCAGGTTTTGAAAACTAAATTGTCATTAAATCAAAGAATTAAATAAGCTCGATCTCCATTTTGCAGACCACTGAATATTTTGCATTTACAATATCAATATATTTTTAGGGGGCTTCAACATTAGGAGCAGGGACAGGGAAGAAGGTTTTATTTAAAAACATGTAAACCTACCTCCAAAGAGAACAGTTTTTAAAGTTTTCTAGTCTCACAAATTCTTGCTAAAAGAATAAATTTCACAAGTAATCTTCCTCTTTTAAGTTCCACCCAATGCAAAAGTAAAACAGTAACAATCCCAAGTGTAAAGACAGTCACGGTGGGAAATCATATTCAAAAGATTACTTTACCTCAAAGATAAAAGGATCTCCAAGGCAACTGAGAGACCATTCTCTTCATCTGTTTCTGGATTGTGGACACCAACCACAGGCACTCATTCCCCATGACATCCTGACTGCACACAGTAGCCACTGACAATTATTGAACTAGGCCGCTATTTCCAACAATGGAAATTTACTTTCTCTAGACACAAATTTCCCTAAGTAGAGTTAAATAGCACTTGTAAACAAACTATTTTAAAACAAATCTGGTTACTAAGCACATTTTTAAAAGCCACACGAGAAACTATCCATTTTTCCCACTTAAAATTATCTACCACCTATACATCAATTCCCAAGTCCACACTTTCCATCTCCAGACTTCTCCATAATCCCTAATATGTTCAGCTGGTTTTGTCAGTTCACATCTTTCCCCTCTAGATGACAATCAACAACCTACCACTACCACATCCCAGTTTCTGCCTTAGATCAGACCTTCAATGCTTATCTTGCCCATTACTTCTAACAGTCTCCTAATTGACCTAAATACTCCCTCTTCACTCTCAGTTCTTATATGTTGCAGCCCAGAATCATTTTAACGATTTTGAGTGATAAGCCATTTCAGTGGAGAGTCCCAATTCTGACTGTTTTAGCACATATATGCTATGTGAGAACTCACACTCATATACATATATCGGTTAAACTTATTTTACAATTTTAATTTCATTTCAAATCATAAAATAAGTCTTGTTCTTGTTCTCCACTTGGTTCCTTTTACAAACTGGAATCGATACAATTGAACGTTTTCTAACACCACTCTTCCTCACATTACAAAGACACCTGTACACTAACAAACTACYTCAATATATCATGAACTCATTCATAAAGTTCAAATTTTAAACATCAGTTGTTTGGTTTAAGTTAGAAGTTTTAGTGTTCACTGACAAGTTAAATTTTCATTTTTAGGAGGAAGAAAGCTGTAGGTATGAGTTAGTGGAAGTATTTAAATATCCAAGTATATATAACTCTTTACTGATATACCTCATACAAATGCCATCAGAGGAGATGGTTATACAGTCACTATGAACTAAAGTGTCTCACTGGATACTTTTTGTACCAAGCAACCCATTTTTAATATATTATCCTTACCTTTCACTTTTGCAGCAAGCATTTCTGCAGCATGTTGTATATCAACAGAATTGAGGTTCTGATGCTTATTAATTACAGACGTTAAAACATCAAGAAGTTCATCCAGACGTATATCAATGACTTCTTTAAAGCAATCTTAAAAAAAGGAAAAAAAATTGTATCCAAAAAAAATTTCTGGAAGTCTAAGCTACAAAAGATCACATAAAATACATTTCAAGTGAATGTCATTAGAAAGCATCCCACAATTGTTGCCTACTACATGTTCGCTTCTATTTCTACTACTGCAGTTATGTTGCCTTCAGAAAATTCTTGGTCATTTTAATTCATTAATGATTTTAAAGACAATTATGGTCAATTTAGTGCTACTTTTTTCAGTTTTTCTCTGTTTACATATGCTCTCCAGATTTTCCTTGAAATAACCATATAAAGTATTTTCTGTCTTACAGTTTTTACTATCATATAGTTAATATATGTRGTAACAATGTTAAAAGCTCTAAAAAGTTTGATGTAATTGCATAACTAGTATGTTTTAAAATATATGTTCAATTTCCACATTAGAATTCTTTTTTTTCCTCATGACCTGTGCTTTTTATTAACTTTTTAGTCCTAGGACCAACCTTTTCATTTATCAATATCCCATCATTTTAAGCTATCTTAGGTACAATATACCTGCTTATATTTATCAAAACTCATACTGAACAATGAGTTCTGGGTTGCAAAAGAGGATTTATTTTTTGCACTTGTCTATAAGTCTTTGTCCACAGTTAAACAAAAACATACACAAATGCTACTAGAATCAATTCTTTCCATTAAGGAATTATCAGTTATTGGAAGCAGTAACTCTCAAGCTATATTGAAAGACCATCATTTGTCCTGCATATTTTAAAACTGTGATATAAATTATGTATGATCAAATGCATAGATTTTTAATGAATTTTTGTGCTTTTCAGAAAAATTTAATCAGTTGCTAATGATGAAAAATTGGGTGAACCATTTTAAATTTTCCAGATTTCTGCCTACTCTAAAAAATGCAAGAATGTATTATACCAGGCCTACTATCTTCCTCAGCAGCTGGAGCAAAGCAGTGCTACCCTTTTAGATGTGCACATTTCCCAGGACCCACTAGTCTAATCCTAGCCTCCTGTGCTCATTTATACCACCCCTGCCAGAGGGATGCAGATAAGAGTTTTAYAGCCCCCAAAAATCAAGTGATCATATAATTTGTCCAAACCAAAATACTTTAGTGAGTAAAAAGGAGGATGCTCTTCATAATCATGCTAACATAACAAGCATATTCTGGATTATCATCCCAGGCAAACCAGTATGTATTATCAACCTACCTTTAAGGCTCTGAAGTAATCTTCAGAAGTTTGAAAAGATAACCATCTTAAACATAGTAGTATGCTATGATTCTCCTTTCCTTGACCTTACATCGCATTAGCATTTAATAATGGTTAATATTTATTTAAGTGCTCAGTATATGATAGACACTCTTAAACATGCTTAAAAGATATATTGTCCCATTTAATGTTCATGTTCCTATTAGCTATAAAACCCCAAATTCTCCATTGTGCAGATTTATTAAACTATAGAGCCTTAATTTAAAGTCAGCACACATAATTCCAGAATCCATGCTCTTAATGTTATACTGCCTCCCTACTGAAACAGTTCAGCTTAAAAACCAAAAATATTTTTTAATGTGGTGTTATAATTAAATGTATATTCRTGTTTTGCAGAAATGTTGAAAGATAATCATTAAACAAATTATTCATTTTTCAGAAATGTTAAGACACCAAAAAAATACTATCTATAGCATAAAAAATAAAAAATATTCCAACATGATCCATAATATATTCAATTTATTAACAGCACTATCAAGAGTGAAATAAATGTGTATATAATGTGGAATAAATGTGCAAGGGGCAGGGGTGCTGGGCAGACAAGATAAAGAGCTGGGCATATCAGGGCAAAGAGAATTCAGAGAGAAGCAACAAAGAGTGGTCCACGTAGTGCTAGAAGCAAGAGAGAAAACAGTGCCTTCCAGGAAAAAATCTGATTCATTCATCTATCAAATTTTATTGACAGGGGAAAATTAAAGAAGAAACAAACCAGGAGATTTAGTGCTGGTTTAATTAACTCTGGAAAGTAGACTAAATGAGTAAGACTAAAGGCAAAGGAAATACTCTTGAGTTCTGTACTCCAATTGGTTTACAACTGACACCATTATAGATGTACACTGGAACTGAACAAGTGAATAAATGGATAACATGGTGGAAGCCAGACATCTCACTATTAGAGTGAAATTTAGAAATAAAATAAATAGGAGATTATAATAATCCAAGTAGTGATGGATCAAAGTTGGAAACTTCAGTAAAAACTGATATTCGATTTGATATAAATGGTTACATATAGAAATATTTATGGATATGTGTGTATAAACACATGGATCAGCATAGACRTATGTATTTCTTTTCTGTCAGCTAAAAGGGTCTAAAAAGTGACACMCCAGTAGCAACAAGTATACCTAGCAYACAGGTCTTGGTTCCTRAACCATTCTCCAATAAAAGGCATCAGAACTCCTTGGAGAAATGACTAATTGTAGGGCAGGGGCAGAAAATATGCAAGCTGAAGTCAAAAGCATCATGTAGTTCCAGAAAGAAAGGAATAAAGAGGGAACAAGGAGGGGAGGGAATGGAGAAGTATCAGGGGAACAAAATCTATCAAATTATGCTATGTCTATGTATGAATATACCACAATGGATCCTGCTTATAATGTACTAATTGAAATAATAATAATTAAAAAAAGATTAGTAGAGTCAGCAGATCAGGAGGAGGAGGGGAAGGAAAAGAGGGGTGCAGGAGAATAAGAGTGGTCAATGATGTTATGTGCATGTACAAATATGGCATAATGAATCCCCACCATTATGTATAGTTATAATGCATCAATTAAAAAATTTTTTAAGTTAGAAGGGTATGTTCAAAGGTGTATAAAAGTCAACTGAAAAGGTTCCCTCTGTCCAAAGCTGGGATAATTGGAGCAACAAATAGTATTGACTTTATATCTATAGTATAAAATAAACATCCATACATTCATATTGACATAAATGACTGAATAAATTAATAAATTGAGAAGAAACAAACCTCTTGTGTAAAAGAATACTATATGCTTTATGTAGATAACTTTGCCCTCAGAGAGGTATGCATAGTGATTTCTTCCAAAGAGTACCCTATTCATGGGAGGATAAAAACAGTAATTTCACTGTGCAAGAGTTGATGAACACCACATAAGACAATTGATCAAGGTTAACAACAATGACAAATCATGTTAGTAGCAAGCATCCTTGAGATGATGTGATGAAAAAAACACTTTACATCTGTAATCTCTCCCCTACTGTTTTACAACCTAAGTCTAATCAGGAGAACATCAGAAAATTCTAACCAAAGGGCATGTGACGTAATATCTAGCCAGTACTCCTTGAATCTTTCCTCACCAAAAATGAGGAAAGTCCAAGAAACTTAAGAGCCAAGGAGAACCTAAGGAGACATGACAATTAAGTGTACTGTAATAGGTTCCTAAAAGACAAAAAAAGGACATTTGGGGAAATCTATAAATTTTAATAAACTATAAACTTTGTTGCTCAATAATAAGGTAGCATTACTCTTGTTTACTGTCAAATATTGGTTCATTAATTCTTATAAAAATAAGGCAAACTGGGCATAGGCTTATATAGGAACTCCATACACTTTCTCAATTTTTCTGTATCTAAAACTGTTCTAAAAAAACGAAGTCTGCTTTAAAAGTGAAATACAAGCTGGTCAAAGATTTTAGGAATTTTATGTACAGCTGGAATTTTCCCCATAAACCTAATTTTTAAAAATCATTTATAATTTTAATCCTTAGGGTAAATTTGAATATGCAGCTTAATGAATTATATTAATTAAAAAAACAACTATTTGATAATTGTGGGTGTTAAGTTTACTTAGTTAAGCCAATATAGCACAGTGGTTAAAAAGTACAGCCTTTGGAACCAGATTCCCTGACTTCAAATTCTTCCTCCAAGGCTGAGAAACTTGGGCAAGTTACTTAATCTCTCTGTGCCTACTTTCCTCACCTATAAAGAGAAGACAGTGAGGGGATGGAGTTGTGGTTAAGCAGTAGAACACTAGCTTTGCAAGTGTGAGGCACTGGGTTCCATCCTAGCACCACATAAAAACAAATAAAGGAATTGAGTCCATACACAACTTAAGAGAGAGAGAGAGAGAGAGAGAGAGAGAGAGAGAGAGAGAGAGAGAGAGACAAAGAGGGTTACTTCATAGAGTTGTTAAAGTAAATGAGTTAAAACACATAAAGCACTTAGAACAGTGGCTGGAACATAGTAAGCCCTCTACCAACATTTGCAGTTCCTATTATCTTAAGCAACAGAAGATATAGGTTACAAAGTTTGGCTCTGAAACAGAATCCAGCACTTAAATAAAAGAAACTTTTGGGAAAATAATACAACTTGATAGTAAAAAAAAAAACATCTGTAAAACACTCCAGACTTTCAATGTTATCCCAGTTTTGCACAGACAAGTCTCTTCTTTATACTAGGAAGCTAGTCTATGATATTTCTGACTATTTACCAAAACCAAGGTTGAGTGATGATCATCACAGAGAATTGTACTGGATTCTTTTTGAAACCTAATCCATGGTAGTGCTAAATACTCCCCCCAAAGGCCCATATTGGTTCTCAGCATGGCACTACTGGAAGGTGGTGGAATCTTTAGAAGGAAGGCCTGCATCACTGGAGATATGTCCTTAAAGGAGACTGTGGGAATCCCAGTCCATTCCCTTTCTCCTCTCCTCTTTTGTTCTGTAGCYTGACTTGTTCTACCGTGTACTCCCACAATCATATGCTGCCTCTCCACAGGTCCCAAACCGTGGGGGTGTTAATTGATAATAGACTATGAATCAAAATAAACTTTTCTTTATAAATTATCTATTTTGTTTAATGACCCAACGCTGATTAATAGTCTTCAAAAAGAAAATAGTCATTTCTAATATTGACAATAAAATCAACAGTTATTAATATACTTGAGGAATACTCAAGAATATATTGTTTTATTTTGAAGGCTCATGCCAAAAGAGATTGATT